GTTACCCATTCATCGTGTAATGGTGTATACTACTGTTTAGAACATTATGCTGTTCAAGTTTATGCGAACAATGGGAGCTCCCTTCATTCTCATGGATTGAGTCTAGATGGAAGTTACTTGGATTGAGCATATATTTTTGGACATTAGCGTGATTGAAGGATTAAGTGCATTAGCAACTACTGGGCATGGGTTGCTACAGTCTTGTTAGACGCATACACATGCAAAATTTAACCAACTAGATATTTTCTAGATAGTTTATTTATAACTCCATACTGAAGCCAGTGGGATAACTATAATGTTCTAATACTTCTTCATATTTTATACCCTAAACAGGAACCAGTACTTCCTGGTTGCTTTCTTCGTGCCCGGGCAATCGGGCTCATGCCAATGATTGATCAGGTACTGCATTTCCTATTAAGTGAGTTCAAATTATTTTCATATCTACTGCTGTTTCTATGCTTATTAATTCAGATAACAGGGCGAGAGAGATGATAAGATCATTGCAGTTTGCGCTGACGATCCTGAATATCGCCACTACAGAGACATTAAAGAGCTCTCTCCTCATCGTCTCATGGAGATCCGACGCTTCTTTGAAGATTGTATCCTGAATTATTAATCTTTTAGAACTTATCTTGCTATCCTAGTTACATAAGCTGAATATCCAATAACCCACCGTATCAATGCTGGATCCCTTAACTGGTGTCTCAGACAAGAAGAATGAGAACAAGGAGGTAGCTGTCGATGAATTTTTACCCGCAACAACTGCCACTGAAGCAATCCAGTACTCCATGTAAGTGCTTTCGAGCCTTGTTTTTGAATCCTGAACATTATTTCTAACGCTTCGATTAGCATTTAGCCTATGAGATTAGTTACTGATTCGTCATCGTGTAAGTCTCTTTCTGATTAATACTATTTCGCTGGTTTCGTTGCAGGGATCTCTACGGCCAATACATAATGCAGAGCCTGAGGCAGTAGATCAATGCTGTCAATTTTTGGGGTTGTTTACTTCTCATCCGACAATAACAGAGTGCTAAAACATGGAGAGCTGTTTGTGATCATTTTTGTTCACGGACTTTGAATTTTGCTATTTGCTTTGTACACCGGTTATGATTTGATCAGAAATTTGATGTGATTGTGGACTGAGTTTGTCATACTGATCTTGTTTCTTGAGAGTCAATGCGCATTGTCATTGGCTTCCAATGGGATCATGTTTTCATATCTTTACATCTCAGAAACTTTTTCTGCTGACGTGGATTTTATAAACCAACCGTTTCTCTTACTTTATATCTATGCTGATAATTTTTAAATAACTTTTTTCCCCTTTACACTCATCTATGATGTTAGGGCCTGTTCGTTTGCCTTAAAAAAATGGGAAATCAAAGAAATAGAAAAATATTTCTAAGAAAAATGGGTTTTTGAATTGTTTGGTTGGCTAAAAAAAAAGGAAATCAAAGAAATGAAGATGAGATAAGATGAGTTGTCACATTATTATTGGATGATGTGAGTGATTTTTTAAGAAAACTAGTTTTGATGTTGTTCGGTTGGCGAAAAAAATAAGGAAATGAATTATAAGAAACCTATTTCCTGTAGTTTTGTTGTTTTCTTTTGTTTGGTTCATTCTTAAAAATAAGAAATAAAATGAGATGAGATGAGTTGTCATTGTATTATTGGGTGATGTGAAGAAAGATTAAGAAAAGTGTTTTCACAACTTTTTCTGATGAAAACAAAGAAATGAAATGTTAATGAGATGAGGTGAATTGTTATAATATTTTATTCGATGATGTGAGTGATTTGAAATGATGAAAAGAGATGAGTTGAGTGATGTTTGGATAAAAATAATATTTTATTAGATGTGGTGGATGAGTGGTTAGATGAAAATAATATTTTATTAGATGATGTGGATAAGTTGTTTGATGAAAATAATATTTTATTGGATGTTGTGGGTGAGTTTTAGAGATGGAAATGAAAGAAATGGATTATTTTGATATTTCCACCTTTTCCATTTCCATTTCTTGGTTTTTAGGAAATAAACGAACGGGCCCTTAATAGAAATTCCTGTGACATGTGGGATATGATTGTTGATGATGATTGCGGTGGTTGCGGTGAAGGTAACGGTCTTCTCTTGTCTCTCCGTTGTTTTCTCTTTGTTTATTGTCACGCTTTGCTTTTTGAGGTGGACGCTCTCTACATAAGCTTTGTTGTCACAAAGAAATCGAGGTAATAATAGAAACTCCAGCTATAAAGCTGAAGCCGCTCAATTTCAAACGCATGTAAAATCCAAAATTTAATCATATAAATAAGAAGAATACAATATTCAACATACGTAAATCTATTCAATGGAAGAATTCGCATGCTCAGACACTGAAACTAAATATCTCCTTTTTTTTATTCCTTTAAATCTCTCCCAAAAAAAACCTTATGTTAGAACTATCAATATTAGACAGCAAAATTTGGCACGAAGTAATAAAAAGTTGTAGGATCTACTACTTTCATAAAGTTAACATGATCTATGAAGTATTAAGTATATATGTTATTTAATGAAAATTATAAAATGAAATGGTGAAATGACATTCTTATTGTTTATTGTGAGCTAGCTCGATAGGCTACCAGATACGATGATGAACATCATCCATCCTGTTTTGCGCACCACAAAATCGATATGTAAGAAGTAATCATATCGTTTAGAAAATTTTAATCATTATTTTAGCTATATGTAAAAAGGACAGCTATTAAACTATCTGAAAAATCAACAAATTAAATTAATTTGATTCATATTCTAGAAGATTCTAAACTATGTTAAAATTTTTACCACATACATATTTTGATAAATCTATTAGTCCAGCACACGACAAGATTTGAGCTAAAGGAAAATAGTGCTGGATCCCTTTATCATATTATTCCTTTGGTTAGATATCTCTATTATAACTTATAACTATAGTCTGACTAGGATTCACTAGAAATCACTAATCCGTTTAGGATTATGACTTCC